AATATTGGGACTAGGAGTGTCTCTTAGATTACAGCTGCAAAACTGATGTAAACAGTTTTAGAGTCAGATTGGATGTTGGGCAAATTTCTCAGTGCCTGAGCAATCAAAACTGCCAGTGAAACCTGAGCCTACATTTCAGTAGCTAAGCAAACTAATCTGCAACATGTGCACTGAGACAAGCTTGTATTAGAAAGAGCAGACATCTTTTATCACCTAAAGGAACTCTGCTTCTAATGTCCACCCACCAGTTGCCCTGAAACATAAACCCCAACTGGATGTCCTCCAAATGGGCAGGCAGGAGGAGGAGGAAGACTAACTAGATGTCACATTTGGCTAGTAAGGCTTGGGGAGTCCTATGCTCCGACTAGGCTACAAGATGGCTGAAAGATGCACAACTATGCAGTATTCAGGAGGAATAGCATCATGACTGATGTGCCGCTAGGATAAAAGACCTGGTGGATTAAGCAATAATTCAATAAGGGTAGGAAGATGGGTCCTGGTGGATTAAGCAATAATTCAATAAGGCAGGGTAGGAAGATGGGCCTGACACAGTCCTGCTAGATGTTCCTTATTGATATTCAACTCCATCACTTGTGGTTGCTTCCATGCCAACTTTAAGTTGCTTGCATCCATTGCTACCCATGACCCTGCATAAGGGATTCTCAAAGGTATGGGGTAGCTTTTCAATTGGGGTAGATGAGAAGGAGCAGGCATAATGATGGCATCCTGAACAGGATGCAGGCTAAGGTGGATAGGCTGCCTTTGGACACCCTGACCTCATTTCCCCAGCTCTGTGGCAGGGGCTGAAGGGACCCCACCATTAGACCCTCCATCCTTTTGTGAGATACCCTTGGAGTGTGGTTGGGCTCTGCAACAGGCAGCTGTCCAGCCAGATGGCAAGGGCATGAGACTCAAGAGTGTGGACTGAAGCAGATGTTGTAATCATGGTCATATTTACAACTCCACCTGTTATAGGCCCAGGAGGTTTGGGCACTTCTATTTTGCCCTGGCACTTTGCTAATTTAGTCCCATCTACCTGTCCTTGACATGGGAACACACATTGATGAGGTCCCACTGAGCATTGGCTCTGGGAGAGGCCCTCTTTCTGAAGGCTTCATCATAGTCCATAGTTAGCCCATCTCCAGCTAAACCTCTGACCCACAGCCATTGCACAAACAGTTGTTGAGATGCCACTCCCCTCTCTAGATAAGCTGCAGGCTTAAACCCCATAAACATTGTATACCCAGCTAACCAGTTATTGAAAGTAACTGGTTGCATCTTCCTCACTCTCTGGCTTCAGAAGGGTGAAAACACTTATATAATAGCTCTCCAGGATCTGTTCTCTCACCTTATATGGGACATGAGTGCCTGGTGGCTCTGTTATCCATGAAAGATGGTCAGAATCCCACCCAGAAGGCCTCTGCTGCTGCCAGGTCCTCCTTGGGGCATACTGCACCTGCAGGATGCCCACCAGGGACACCCTGGAACTTGTGTTTGCTCCTTCCAGTATTTATTTATTTATTTGATTTATACCCCTCCCATCTGGCCTAAAAGGCCACTCTAGGCGGCTTCCCCAGAAATAGTAGAAGGAGTTATGTCCTCATCCAAGGAAGATTCACCAGTGGTATTGTACATCCCTGACAACTCTGAGCGCTTCCTGAAACTCTTCCACTTATGTCTGGAGCCATGCCTCCGTTTCCTCTTCCTCCTAGACAGCTAGCATTCTGGATTCAGGCTGCTGGACTTACTTGCTGAAGAGGGCACACCAATTGGTAACCCTCCCTCAGCCACCCAGCTAAGGCTGCCAGTGTGGCCTGTGACGCTTAGTGGTGCTGCTTGAGCCACTGGTTCTAGCTGCTCCATGATATGGACCGAGATGTGTGAGATGTTTTGGAGAATAGCTTGCTGACTGTCCACCTCTGCTATAGGTTCAGATTGCCCTTGAGCTGGCATCAACTGAACTTGGGTGATTGTTTGCCTTTGCTGTCAAAGAGGAGCCTAAGACTGCTGCTTCTGGCATGCCTGGTTTCTCATGCAGGGCAAGAGGTTCACATCAGCTAAGGATACCATATGTAGTTAACACTTAGAGACTTAGGCTAGTCATTAATAAGTTAAGTCCCATTGATTCCAATGGGCAAAGCTGAAGAAGAACAGAGTTCAATACCTTTAACTTTAAACTTTGTTTTGATGTTTCAGCATCCGTACCATTCTGATATTTTAAAATCCCTTCTGGGCAGCAAAATGCAAGATCTCCAGCTGAACTCCACAACATCGGTGAAGTACACCTTGATAGTGATTGATTCCTGCTGTGCTATCATCTACTTTACCAGCTTACTGACTGGTCTGAAGATCATTATCTTCTTTTCCATGAATAACAGAAGGGAATTGATGTAGTTACAAACTAATGTTCTTTCATGATTCCTCAGGGTTTCTCCCTTGCTTGGGTAATGTTTTGTGAATGGTAGTGACCCCAAGAGGGTATCCTGTAGGCCATCTTGACTGCTGTCATGGGCCTTGTCCACATTCTTTCCTATGTAAAGCTTGCCAACTTTTTAACCGCTGGCAAAACAGGCACAATACTGCACAGAAATATCATGCTCTTTACTGGCATTTTCAATCATGGATACAGACGCACAATATCCCACTTTTATAAACTGGAGGTTTTTTAAAAAATAATTGAATTTTCTGGCTTTTAAAAACAGAGTACACATATACTTCACGCAAATTCCAACAGCAACATCTCTCATGCACAATTACTCAGTGCTGGAAGATCCCAGAAGATGACCCCATGATCTGTACTGCGGTTGCTGGGTTAGGGCAAAACCAAGAACAGCTGGAATATGGTTGCATAGGAAGAGAGAAAGATATAACATGAGATGGATTGATTCAGTAAAGGAAGCCGAAACTGTTGGTTTGCAAGGTCTGAGCAGAACTTACAGGGAAAGACAACATTGCTGGAAAAGGGGAGGCAGTAGAAAAGGGTAAAGTTGTAACATGAGGTGGATTGACTCAGTTAAGGAAGCCACTGCTCTTAGTTTGCAAGACCTAAACAGGGATGTTAATTCAAATCTCCAGGGCCTGGTGGCGTATTGTAGTATACATCCAAGAGTATTGAAGATACTGGCTGGGGAGATTGCAGAACCACTATCTATTATTTTCTTGAAATCATGGAGGATGGGTGAAGTGCCTGATGATTGGAGAAACATTAACATTATCCTGATCTTCCAAAAAGGAGGATCCGGGGAACTATAGGCCAGTTAACCTGACATCAATTCCGTAGAAAATTCTAGAGCAGATTATAAAACAGTCACTCTGCAAATACTTTGAAAATGGTGCAGTAATAATCAAAAGCCAATATGGATTTGCCAAGAACATATCCTGCCAGACTAATCTTATCTTATCTTGTTTTGTTTTTTTTGATTGGGTAACCACCCTGGTAGATGGTAGGAATGCTCTAGACATTATATATCTTGACTTCGGCAAAACGTTTGCTAAGATGCTCCATGATATCGTGATTAGCAAGCCAACTAGGCTGATAGAACAACTGTCAGGTGGATGTACAATTGGTTACAGAATTGTACTCAAAGAGCGATTTAGAATAGTTCCTTCTGAAACTAGGAGGAGGTAACAAGTGGGTTACCACAGGGCACAGTCCTGGAGCCCAGTGCTCTTTAACGCTGTTTTAATGACTTGGATGATGGGGTACAGAAAATGCTTATCAGATTCGCAGATGATACAAAATTGGGTGGAATAACTAATACTGTACCTTGGAAGATAGAAGCAAAATTCAAAAAGTTGTGACGACCGCCCACGTCACTCATGCCATTCATATTCATGAGCTGATTTGCATGAACCTATGAGAGGGCTGGAGAGGCAGAGTCAGCAGCTACATGAGGCTTGGCTGGAGAAGGAGGAGTCAGGGAGCAGACAGGAAAGGGAGAGAGAGTCAGAGATGAGAGTCTGAAGTAGAAATTAGTCTGTGGTAGAGAGGGTAGCGTTAGGAATTAAGAGTGTGGAACTTGGAGAGCTGAAAAGGTTAAGAGTGAAACAAATTATTAATAATCTAATGAATACCTTAAAGTCTGTGAAGAACCTGTTTAAGTGAGCTGTAATCAATAAACCTGTGTTCTACTTTATAATCACCTTGGACCTCATTCTTTCTAATTAAAGAGTGTTGACAGAAATCGACTGGTGGCAGTGGGGTAAAGTACGTGTTATCAACACGTGTTATTTCTGTGTAGGGTGAAACAAGCAGGGGTCATGTGGGTAAATGTCACAGATGTAGATAGGCTCAAACATGGGGATGAATACAATAGTATGAAATTTAACAGTAAGTGCAAAGTTCAACACCTAGGGATAGAAACCAAATGCACAGTTACAAGATGGAGGATACTTGGCTACATGTTATAACCATCTTGTAAGTATTATAGACCACAGGCTGAATATGAGCCAATAGTGTGATGTGGCTGCAAAAAAGGCCAATATCAACATATGGTCTCTAAAGCCTGTGAAGTACCAGTTCCCCTCTATTTGGCACTGGTTAGCCCACATCTTGAGTACTGTGTCCAGATCTGGACACCACACTTTAAGGATGAAGGCAGCAAATTGGGACAAGTTCAGAGTAGGGCAACAAGGATGATCAGGGCACTGGTAACCAAGCCCTATGTGGAAAGACTGACAGAAGTGGGCATGTTCAGCCTTGAGAAAAGAAGACTGAAGGGAGATGTGATACAATTCTTCAGACACTTGAGAGATTACCATATAGAGCAGGGCAGGATCTGTTCTCAGTACAGTACTCTCAAAATCTGCTTTTTTCAGATTTATTTAAAATACATTGAATGACTGCTTGAAATTCCTGAAAAGCTCTAATCTGAGTCACTCAGTGTAATAAAACAACAGGAGGAAATAATGTGGCAGGAATGGTTAAGTTTCTGAGGAGGGGCTTGAAAAATGCTAATGTTAGTTGAAACCAAGGCCTGTCCTTGCCAAAGCTGTGCTCCATGTGAACCTTTGTACATCTAGGAAGGCAGCCAGAAAGCAGTGAAGCAACACAGAGAAGCAGAGGCATTACAAAGCCTATAGCCATGAGCACTGCAGGGAAAGTAAGTAGATAATTTCTTTTAAGATTGCTTCTTTATTCCAAAGATTTGTTATTATGAGCTATGAAAGTACTTCTGACTTACAGAGATCCTGTGAATGCATGCCTTTCAAACGTCCTGTCATTAACAGCTCTGTTCAGGTTCTTGCAGACTAAAGGCAATGATATTCTTTTTTCACACCAGAGATCAATGGCATCTAATTTTTTTTTTTTAAAAAAAGGCTTACAGAACCACTGACCATAAGCAAAGGTGGTTAAGGGTTAAACTTTTATAAAACACTGTTGCTTGACCTTTATTTTTAGTTTAAAACAAATAGATAATCCGCTCTTTTTGAAAAGCAGAAACCCTCCTTCTCCTACCACAGGAGAAAGCCTTTGTTCTGAATGTTTTTATCAGCCTTCCACAGATGGAAGAATGTCATGGGAATCAAGTCGAGATAGAGAAGAATGCACTGTACCATTTCAGACAGCAAGTGTGTAAAACTGCTTTTCAAGGAAGGTACTTGTAGAGCTGCTTGCAACTTTTTGAGGCTGCAACCTTGCACAGTTTTACTACAAGGAAAGTAGTTTCACAGAGAAAGGAATGCAGAGAACACAGATTATGAGAGGCCCTGTAAATGGAGGGGGGGATTAAAACTCTCACTACGTTTCAGATTACATTTATTAATAGAATACACATTAGGATGGCAATGCTGCGAGGCTGCATAGAGACAGTTTAGAGTCTTAGCACAGAATCCTTCATTCAGCCTTTGAAACAAGACCATAGAATATTGTCCAAAGTATACTCTGTTGTAAACAGCCATGCAAACTTGCATCTACATCTAAGGAAGAAAGGAATTGTGCTTAATGCCAGAATACAAGTGCAGAGGATCAACTTTAGCTGAATGGAGAAGACCATCTCATCTTCAGTTGTTTTCACAGGTCATCAAATGCAAAGCAGCTGTAGTCTGGGAACCGAAGAAACCATTTAGCATCGTGGAAATAGAAGTGGCTCCACCAAAAGCACATGAAGTTCGCATTAAGGTAAGAGAGACAAACCCCATCCTGGGTTAAGGCTGCTGACCAGTAGCATCTACACTCATTTTTCTCAGATTTGCCCAGCTCTACTTTAAGGCAGAGTGTGGCAGCTTCCTGAAGCAGGAGGGGCAGGAGATGGGGACAGGCCCTTCTGCCATTTTTCTTGAGAGCCTATTACCCCCAGATGTTCTAGAGCAGTGGTCCCCAACCTTGGGCCTCCAGATGTTCTTAGACTTCAACTCCCAGAAATCCTGGCCTGCAGAGGTGATGGTGAAGGCTTCTGGGAGTTGTAGTCCAGGCCCAAGGTTGGGGACCACTGTTCTAGAGGATGACACTTTCTATGGTGAATTCAGATTTGCCAATCTGATGGGATTGTGCATGTGAAACGGGGTGGAGTTTTTCTTGTTGCGCTCTATACATTTTATGGAAGGAAAGGCAAAACAGAGCCACAGGAGAAGTAGCTTTGGATCAGGTTTTCTAGGAACTCTGGGTGAGCACCAGGGCACTGAGAGCCAACTCTTCAACTGGTGAACTTTTCACTTCCACATCTGTTTGTCCATATTTCCATGAGAAAGGAAAAGATCTAGTGCTGAGAAAAGGTGTTTTTTTTTTGGTTTTTTTTTTGTTTTTTGTTTTTTACAAACGACAACTTCCAGAATCTGACAGAGACCGTTCTACATTCAGAATTCTGGGATTTATACTTCCTAAACCTAACTTTTCCAAAGACTTGGCCGTGCTTATCTACATCCTTTTTAAAATTTCTTGCAAAACATAGTTTAACAGTGTGCTCGGGTAAACTGTACTTTACACCTGAATATTGGAATCCTAGTTAGCAGACCATATTTCCTCCTTTAGAAAGAAATGGCAGGCACACTTCTTATTCCAGGAAAATGAGAGAGTCAGTGTTTATTAGAGCAATACACTGGAATGGGACAGATATTAGGAATCCTAATTCTAGGTAACAGAAGTGGAGATGCCCTTCATGGCTACTCATCTCTTGAGAACAAAGGCAAGCTATCTGCGATCCAGGCGCACTTGAAGGGAGAAATGTGAGAAGGCAGGAAATGACATCAGCAACACTACGGATATTAGTCTATGTGAGCATAAGTCACAGGAGGTAAAGGACAATCTAAGAAATCTGTAGAGGTCTCTCCCTCCTTATTTCTACCCACCGAAATGTGTGCATTCTCTGTGCAAATCAAAGTTAGGTAAAGGTAAAGGTTCCTCTTGACAAATTGTCCAGTCATGCCCGACTTTAGGGGGTGGTGCTCATACCCGTTTCCAAGCCATTTGTTCATAGACAGCTTCCATAGTCACGTGGCCAGTGTGACTAGACATGGAACGCCATTACCTTCCCACCAAGGTGGTGCCTATTTATCTACTTGCATCTTTACATGCTTTCGAACTGCTAGGTTGGCAGGAGTTGGGACAAGTGACGGTCTCCCTTCGTCATGTGGATTCAAACTGCTGATCTTATGACCTTGCAGCACAGAGGCTTTGCGGTTTAACCCACAGCACCACCATGTCACTTAAATCAAAGTTATTATGTCTTAAATATGAAATATAAGAATCATCATGGTCCAAGGTCTATGCCCAAGACAAGCACAGGCTTCAAGAATGCCCAGATCTGCTTTTTGGAACACTGCCACCACCCTTAAGGGGAAAAAACTGGAAAATATTTCCAAAACTGTAGAATGACCAAGTAGAAGGACTGGATATTACTCACTCACGTTTCAGACCGGACATATGAGTTTTATAAAGTTTATGTTAAAAAAAAGTGGAAAAGGCAAATGAAGGAACAAAAGGAGGGAAACAATTCTGGAATTATAAAGAAGATGGGTGCAGATTAGGACATATGAAACTGGGTTTCTAAAACCTAACCAACTTACTTTAACCTAGAGGTAAGTCTAGGCTTGTGAAGGGTGTATTTGCAAGGCATGGGAAACCTTTGCAAGAACACTCAATCCCTTCCAGGGGAGGAACTGAATTCATTCAGAGAGGGACATTGAAGTGAGACAAAGAGCCATGGTTCTCCATTCACCATATAGCCATTATTGTTGTTATGTGCCATCAAGTCACCCCTGACTTATGATGACCCTATGAATGAGCCATTTTACAGAATAGCCTCTCTTCAACAGCCCTGCTCAGCGCTTGCAAACTCAACCCTGTGGCTTTCTTTGGGGAATCAAACCACCTCTTCATTTTTTCTTGCTTCCTTCCACCTTTCCCAGCATTATTGCCCTTTCCAGAGAATGATGCCTTCTCATGCTGTGCCCAAAGGAGGACAAGCTCACTAGGACAACATGTTTCAACATTTTTGCCTCTAGAGATAGTTCAGACTTGATTTGATCTAGGACCCACTTGTTTGTCTTTCTGGCAGTCCAGAGTATCTGGAAGGCTCTCCTTCAGCACCACATTTCAAAGGTATCAATTTTATTTTCCTGTCAGCTTTCTTAACTATCCAACTTTCACGCCCATATATGGTGATTGGAAACACAAAAGTGTGGATCGTCTTGGTCTTCAGTGACACACCCTTACACTTGATGATCTGTGTTACACATCCACATATGAAGCAATTCTCTGTCACGAGACATCTTTCACTTCTATTCCAGATGTTGGCTTCTGGCATCTGCCATTCAGATGAGCATGTCCTGTCTGGTGATTTAAAGGTGAATTTCCCCATTATTGTTGGTCATGAAGGAGCTGGTGTTGTGGAAAGTGTTGGGGAAGGAGTTACCGGTATGAAACCAGGTATGCCTAAATGCAGGGTGATACAAAATAATATCAGCATACAGCTGTTTTCAACATTGATAAAATGACACTAAACCAAGCTGGGGGAGGAAGGAATGACATGGCAAGAATAAAAAAGCACCAGGGTATATAAGCATATATATCTGATGCCTTTTATTACCACAAAAAAACTGTGATTGAATTAGATAATTTCATTATTCAGAGTTTATCTGATAAAAGTCTGTTTTAACTAGAAGCATCAATAAACTTTTTGCTACCTTCTTCTTTAAAAAAAACTCACTGTTGCCTATACTGGAAGTTTCCCTTATGTTTGAACACCCACATTGTGTAAGTCAAGCACTTAGGCCACTGCTCTGTCCTCCATCAGTCGCAGAAAGTGTTTCAGCATTAGTGCCAGTCCTGCTGGAGTTTGATAACCACCATCTCTATGGTTGTCTATACTGTACCTTTATTCCTTATCACTGCCCAGGCACCAGAATGTCTGACATTTGAAGCTGGCAACAGTCAGTTAGAACTGAATTGAATACTTTGTTCCTGACATTGGCATCCCCACTTTGCTTGTTAAACTAACCGCACAAGTTAAATGTTCTTATTTGAAGTGTAGTTATTATTCCTGAGTTTGGGCAGTGGTACCTCGTGCAAAAATAATGCGGAGGCCTCATGAGAATTCCTAAAAATTCTGGCCCAGCCTGAACGAGGAGGCATGCTAGTTTATGGTGGTCTGCACTTTTTGCTGCAAGCATTTATTAGTTTTTGTGTGTTTATGAAACAAGATGAAAACATCAGAAATAGAACATTTAGCACTAACATGGGAAGCCAGGAAAGAACAAAACAGAACAAATGCTGGTACTAGAAAAAAAGTAAAACCTACCCATATTTCTGCCAGGTAAGTGTTCATTCCATTTTAAGGATTGTTTATACATTGATCTTAGGAGAGATCTCCCAAATATCCAACTATGTTCTTTTAATCTCATTTTATTTTACTCTTGAGTTAGCACATCTTTGTTTTCTTCCCAAACTTTTATTTTCTAGGTATCATTTTGTGCATTGGGCAGAGTTTAGTACTATAGTGCTTCCTTAAACATTAGCACTACATCATGATTTTCCAGGTACTAAACAATGTTTAGTATTTTGTCCCCTCTAGTCAACATGGAGAAACAAAGTGCCCTAAAACTGAAGGGAAACCTTGCATTATGAAACGCCTTGCAATATTGCCTTCTAAACTTTTTGCCTATGAATTTAAATGCTGCTTTAGCAATATATAGGTACAGTGGGGTCTCGACTTACAAACTTAATCCGTATTGGAAGGCAGTTTGTAAGTCGAAAAGTTTGTAAGTCGAATCAGCATTTCCCATAGGAATGCACTGAAAACCAATTAATCTGTTCCGGCTGTTTTTGGTTCTTAGGTTGAGGGGCATTTCCCATAGGAACTAAGGCAAAGCCGGTTAATCCGTTCCTACCACTAGGGGCAGAATTTTTTTCTTTTTTTCCTTTTAACCTAAGATGACTTAGGTTAAAAAAAGAGGAAAGAAAAGAGGGAGGGAAGGAGGGAACAGACACCTTTTCAACAGAACACCCTGAAAAGCACATTTTCAGCCAAGACAAGTACCTTCTGGAAAAAACCAAGCACCTTTCAGACAACAGATCACCTTGAAAAGCACCTTTTAAATCAAGACAAGCCAATACAAGCACCTTTTGGGGAAAGGGAGGGCAGCAAAGGAGGGAGGGAACACCTTTTAAAAATCCAAAAATCAAAAATTAAAAAAGTGCCAAAAAATAAAAATACAGTCCGTACCGCACTGTACCAGGCAATACCAGCAGTACCAGGCAGTACCAGGCAGTCTGAAGACTGTCTCCAAATCCACTCTCAAAACGCTGGGAAGAGTGAGGAAGCAGACAAACACTCTCTTCACTGGCCAACGGTTAACTGAAAGTTTTAACTTCATGCTTTCCCCACCTCAAACACATTTTTTTTGGTTTGTAACTCGAATCTAAGTGTGCAAGTCGAGTCAATATTTTTCTATCAGAGTGGTTTGTAAGTCGAAATGTTTGTAACTCGAGCCGTTTGTAAGTCGAGGGTTGACTGTATTTCAAATAAATATAAACAAATAAAGCAATTTTAGAGCAACATGCCATCCTCAGAGCCAGCTGGCCTGGCTTCCCTGCCAGGAACCATCTGTTGCTTCTGAGCATGTGCCTGCGTATCAGCTGGCAGAGAAGCCAGGCCCACTGCCTCTGAGGATGGCACCTGCAGCAAACATAGGAGGAGCAGGTACAACCATCCCCACCCCCACAGGCATGAACCAGAGAAACAAAATGGCTAACCATGAATCACCATGGACCACCATTTTTCCAGTTCATGTCCATCTCTAGTCTTGTGTCATGTGCTCACAGCCTGGTCAGTCCAAAGGGACAACATCACAGCAGAAAAGAAATACCAACAAACAAAACTAGGATGTGCATTTGCTGGGTGTATCATTGTGACACAAAATGTCTGCATTTTGTGTGTGTCCATTCACATGCCATCCAACTGTCTGGAATTTCCAAGCAGCCTCACCAAGACCTTTTTTTCTAACATCCAGGAGACAAAGTCATTCCTCTTGGTCTGCCACGTTGTGGGAAATGCAGCACTTGCAGAAATCCCAGAGGGAACTTGTGCAAAAGAAACGAGTGAGTTTCTATTATCATAGTGCTAGTATTATATTATTTTTTACATGTCCTTGGTGGGAATCACAACTGAGCTCTTATTTCCTTCTCTGTATATTAAAGCATCGTAGCACCTGTTGGCTTAATGTATGATGGAACCTCCAGATTCACTTATGAAGGAAAGCCAATTCACAATTTTGCGGGCACCAGCACTTTCTCAGAATACACTGTGGTCCATGAGGATTCTGTGGCCAAAGTTGATGCTTCCGCTCCTCTTGAAAAAGTGTGTCTCATTAGCTGTGGATTTTCTACTGGCTACGGGGCTGCAATAAATTCTGCAAAGGTAAGGATCAAAACACAGAGGGTTGATCTGCAATATGGGGAATTTGTGGCATATCTGTATTTTGAGTCAAAGACGCCATCAAAATCCAATTTGCTGAATGTTTTCTCACAATTGTTTCCACTCATTCTAGTTCTATCATGGTGGTGGATAATATGTTTCATTCTGTTTACTGCATTAAAATATTTACAAATTATATTCCATGGTAATTTGCTAATTAAATGGTTCCAGGTTCCCATGCTCAAAAACAGAGCAGATGCAGGACCAGATAAAGAGATGGTTACCTCACTTCTCAAGGAACCATCAGCATCTCCTCATGTGTACTTTGGGACCAGAAACGAGGTGTCTTTTCTGCTTTCATCAACATGAAAGGTTCTAGTCATAAATGGCTGATTACCAGAGAAGGAAAGACTCCACCCCAACCAACCCTCAATGAGCTTTGAAATCTTTCCATATCCCTCACATGTTGTAAAGAATAAATGTTGCTTTAAGGACTGTAGCTAGTAACTAGCAAAGAAAAAGGTTTTCTTCTTCTTCTTCACATTTGTACCACATATTTTCATGTGGAAGTAGTGCTCAAGGTAGCTTACAAACTTTGTAAAATAATAATAAAAAAGGAAGCACAAATTTAACTACAAAACCAAGTAAAACTAAGACCACAAGGGAAAAAAATACACGCATTAAAATCAATTAAGTGCATTAAAACCATTAAAATCAGCAAAGAGTGCCTTTAAAATAAACTCAAGAGGCAGAGTTTGAGGCCTCTAACTTGAGTGACCTATTTAAGTCCTCAGTTGCTCAACATCTCTCGTGAGGATGACTTCCAGCTTTACGCTGTGATGAGACAGCAGCAGGAGGACGGAGCTCCGTCCCCTGGGCTGAATTTCAATATGTTTTGGACCCCCCCAGAGGGTTAAAACTACCCCAAAGAGGTGGTGAAATGGAGCAGAAGCCTGTTAATCATGGGGGGGGGGACTGTGGTTACCCACGTTTGATCCAGGAAACTCCCCAATCAACCAGCGGGCGGAAACAAGCAGCTGAATTAGCTTGCTTGCAAGTCCTTGGCAGCTGGCAAAAGAAGAAGCGATAAAACAGCCAATTTAACGTTGTTGCCACTGGGTGAGATACAAAATCTTAACTATATGGCTCCATGATTATCCCTGGACAGAATAATCCCTTTAATAGAAAAAAAAAGTGTATCTTAGCCATACCACTAAATTGAGCAGTGGTGGATCTGGAAGGGAAAGAGAAACAAAGAGACTCAAAGAAAATAAATTGGACATCGCGAATACATTAATTAAACACTTAATTATACTTCAAGGAAGGAAGTTTGGTATTACGTACTTTGGTGTTAAACTTAAGAAATTTTGTATTCGCGAAATCTTTCATGGCTGGGATCTAATGGTTGTTGTGCAACCCATGTAACATGATGTTTAACAAGCACGAATTAAATGGAGATAGATTGAAAAATTAATAAAATGTTTTAAAAAAACCAAAAACATTTCTAATGAAGACAATAATTCCTTTCCGGAAGATCTGCTCCAAACACACAGCTCTTATCAGACTGCAGCTAGGCTTCTGAAACAATGTTTCTGTTCTGGTGGCCTTAGATGCCTTGGCTTAGATGATAGTTGGTTTATATTTCTATATCCTTCTTCTTGATTACTCCAGTGTAAGACGTAAGTACAAATTAAACAGATAAAAGAGCTAAAGAAAAGTTAGATAAATTAGGTGGGGGTATTCTAATGGATCAATATTTAGATCAATATTATTTTTCCAAATTAAGTTTTACTATTTTGATGTTAATGCAGGTGCGGCCTGGGTCCACCTGTGCAGTCTTCGGCTTGGGAGGAGTTGGCCTCTCAGCGGTCATGGGCTGTAAAGCGGCTGGGGCTTCCCGTATCATTGGAGTTGACATCAACAAGGATAAGTTTCCTAAGGCTAAAGAACTGGGAGCCACTGAGTGTGTCAACCCACTAGATTATAAGAAGCCCATCAATGAAGTGCTGCTTGACATGACGGATGGAGAAGGTGTCGAATATTCATTTGAAGCGGTTGGGCGCCCGGAGACTTTGGTAGGTGCAGGCCTGAAAGGAAAGGGAAATGTACCCATTCTTTCCTAGCAGGGGTCTTCAATTTGCTAAGACAGTTTGAGTTCATTTCCAGTGATCACACGTGCTTGAAATGATCAAAGATGGAGTCATCCTACCTGACAGTGGCCATTAAGGTGTGGGTAGGAACATTCTGGGCGTTGCTGGTTCACTCTCACAAAGCGATTGAGTGACCATTGGCTTTAAGAACAACCAGACCATCCCTGCAGCAGGCCAAAAAGCAGGCTAAATGCCACTGTAGTCATCACCTTAATCAGCTTATCACCAAGTTACTTTTTAAATGAGAAATACCATAACTTATTTTATTTTATTTTATTTATTGGATTTATCCCCCACACCATCTGGCAACCAGGCCACTCTGGGCAGCTAACAACAGCACAATATCGAAACACGATAAAAAAATAATACACACAAATATAATAACGAACAAGATAAATTAAAACAGATCCCAGTGAAGGTGGTAAAAGGATAATGAAAAGGATGGTGCATCACCTTAATCAGCTTATCACCAAGTTATTTTTTAAATGAGAAATACCATATTTTATTTTATTTTATTTATTGGATTTATACCCCACACCATTTGGCAACCAGGCCACTCTGGGCAGCTAACAACAGCACAATAGCAAAACATGATTAAAAAATACATACATTCAAACACATATAATAACCAACAAGATAAATTAAAACAGGTGCCAGTGAAGGTGGTAAAAGGATGATGAAAAGGATGGTGAAAAGGATGGCACAGGCTAAATGCCACTGTAGTCATCACCTTAATCAGCTTATCACCAAGTTACTTTTTAAATGAGAAATACCATAACTTATTTTATTTTATTTTATTTATTGGATTTATACCCCACACCATCTGGCAACCAGGCCACTCTGGGCAGCTAACAACAGCACAATATCGAAACACGATAAAAAAATAATACACACAAATATAATAACGAACAAGATAAATTAAAACAGATCCCAGTGAAGGTGGTAAAAGGATAATGAAAAGGATGGTGAAAGGGAGGCCGAGACTAGGAAAACTAGGTGGACTGTTTTAGTCTCCTTGTCCAGATGATACCTCTTTCCTCTCTCTCTCTCAGGACTCTCCACAGTCCATCCCAGATGGTTCAATAGCCCCCTCCCAACCTTCTAGAGAGATTGAGGGTTGGGCTGAAAGGAGCTCTTTTGGAATAGAGCCCTTTTCTTCCCTGGTCTTCCTTCAGCTGGTTTATTTTAGGATCTACGCCAGTATTGCTATGGGATTAGAATTTCTTTCTTACTGCTCTCACCACGTCCTTCATACATCAATACCATAAGAGAAGAGGTTGCCCATCTTGAAAGCAACATGTGTTGTACTAGGCATGGCAAATAGAGATGGGCTTGGTTCTTGCTGCATGGTCCTTCAGCCGAACGAGTGTTTGTGACTTCCCAGCCCCACCTCCTTCAGTGGGCACCCACTCAGAGGCAACACCCAGAGGAGGAGGTGGAGCAGGGAGACTGAGGTGCTGCCTCTGAGTGGTGGGGCTGTCAGAAGAGGCAGGGCTGTGAAGCACCAAAACCTGTTCAGCCGAAAGATGAACCAACATGAACTGCCATGCCCATCTCTAATGGCAAATCTTTGGGTTGATTCTCATGTGTGACTTTGGATTTATTTCAGGCAGCAGCCTTGGCTTCTTGCCACCTGAACTATGGAAAATGCATAGCTGTGGGAGTGCCTCCTTCTGCATCAGAAATGGCTTTCTCCCCGGCACTTGTCTTCATAGGCCGCACTTTGAAAGGATCTCTATATGGAGGTAAGGTCCAATAAGATTTATGTTATTTGGCTGCTGAAAGTATCTATGGAGGTCAGTACAGTACAGTGGTGCCCCGCATAACAGGTGCTCCATTTAATGACAAATCCGCATAGCGATTAATAGCCGAAAGATGAACCAACATGAACTGCCATGCCCATCTCTAATGGCAAATCTTTGGGTTGATTCTCACGTGTGACTTTGGATTTACTTCAGGCAGCAGCCTTGGCTTCTTGCCACCTGAACTATGGAAAATGCATTGGTGTGGGAGTGTCTCCTTCTGCATCAGAAATGGCTTTCTCCCCGGCACTTGTCTTCATAGGCCGCACTTTGAAAGGATCTCTATATGGAGGTAAGGTCCAATAAGATTTATGTTATTTGGCTGCTGAAAGTATCTTTGGAGGTCAATATCTCACATTGCAATGAGTTTTATCACAGCATATGGATAACAAGGACCAAGAGGCCTCTGGGTAGCCTTGGCATAGCAGGACATTTTCAGCAGTCTTGACATCCACCCAGATAACTGAGTTTCACGGCTCTGAAGCATTCCACTGTGGAATAGCTGATAAAAGATTGCTAAGTTTGAACCAGACCAATAGAGGTCAGAAATCTGTTCAGACTGAAAGACACATATTCATATTTTTAATGCAATCCTAATCTGTATTTCATACGCTAAACATGTATACTTTTATTTACAGGTTGGAAGGGTAAAGAGCCTGTTCCTAGGCTTGTTTCAGATTTTATGGAGAAAAAGTTTGCTCTGGACCCATTAATTACCCATACACTGCCTTTTGAGAAAATCAATGAAGGCTTTGACCTGCTCCGAGCGGGGAAAAGGTAAATCTTTTCTTTTCTTTCACTGAGAAGAAAAAGTGAATGACTATGGGACAAGAAATAGTGATCCAGGCGGCTCTTGAGAATCCCCTGGACTGCAATGAGAACAAACCTATCAGTTCTAAAGGAAATCAACCCTGAATGCTCACTTGAAGGACAGATCCTGAAGCTGAGGCTCCAGTACTTTGGCCATCTCATGAGAAGAAAAGAGTCCTTGGAAAAAACCTTGATGTTAGGAAGGTGTGATGGCAAGAGGAGAAGGGGACGACCGAGGATGAGATGGCTGGACAGTGTCTGCGAAGCAACCAACATGAACCTGACACAACTCCGGGAGGCAGTAGAAGACAGGAGGGCCTGGCGTGCTCTGGTCCATGGGGTCACGAAGAGTCGGACACGACTAAACGACTAAACACACACATGGATAACAAGGACCAAAAGGCCTCTGGGTAGCCTTGGTATAGCAGGACATTTTCAGCAGTCTTGACAGCCACCCAGATAACTGAGTTTCACCGCTCTGAAGCATTCCACTGTGGAATAGTTGATAAAAGATTGCTAAGTTTGAACCAGACCGATAGAGGTCAGAAATCTATTAAGACTGAAAGACACATATCCATATTTTTAATGCAATCCTAATCTGTATGTCATACACTAAACATGCACACTTTTATTTATAGGTTGGAAAGGTAAAGAGCCTGTTCCTAGGCTTGTTTCAGATTTTATGGAGAAAAAGTTTGCTCTGGACCCATTAATTACCCATACACTGCCTTTTGAGAAAATCAATGAAGGCTTTGACCTGCTCCGAGCGGGGAAAAGGTAAATCTTTTCTTTTCTTTCACTGAGAAGAAAAAGTGAATGACTATGGGACAAGAAATAGTGATCCGGACTAGGGGTGTGTCTTAGATTACAGATGTAACACTGATTTAACAGTTACTGAGTCAGATTGCATGTCAGGTGAAATGTTCCATTCCTGAGCGTTCAGATTTGGAAATGAAGTCTGTATCTACATTTCAATTGCTAATCACAAAAAAAAGCACACTGATTTGAAACATTAAGTGAGGCTACCTTTTGGCAGAATAAATAGAAGTCTTTCACCACCTAAAGGAGCTCTGCTTCTAGTGATGTGTTAACAGAGCTTCCTCTTTTGACAGGAAAGGTCTCCAGAAAGATACCTCCCTGAATCTTTGCTTTAGGAATAGGAATTAGTGGTGTTTGGACTTGAATGGGCTTGGTTATCTATCTATCTATCTATCTATCTATCTATCTATCTATCTATCTATCTATCTATCTATCTATCTATCTATCTATCTATCTATCTATCTATCTATCTATCTATCTATCTATCTATCTATCTCCTAAAAGATTAAAGGCTGCTTACAGTATTAAAAGGAACAAAGTTTAAAAATGAATAGTAAATTATTACAATATTAGGAAAGCATTAAAAAGATACCGTTTTAAAACTCATAAATAAGAGCAATATTGAAAGCTCAAGTAAAAGAACAGAATAAAATAATCCCTTTTAAAGATCCCCTTGGTCAACCAGTCATTTGAAGGAAAGCTTGCCTGAAGAGAAATGTCTTCGTATGCTTGTAGAAGGACAGCAAAGATGGGGCCAGCTTGGTTTCCCGTGGAGAAGTGGTGCCCAGAGTCTGGGAGCAGCAACAGAGAAGGCCCTCTCCCATTTCCCCACCAAACGTGCCTATGAAGGTGTAGAGACCTCTCCTGCTGATCTTAATAGGATCATAAAAGGGGATACAATCCTTAATGGAGGAAGAGAGAATGTTAACAGCACGGGAGGTTGGTTCATTAGGACAGGTGGAGCAACATACAGTACCTCTCCCAGACTCAGGCTATCACTAGCCAGCTTACGTCTACTGGCCTCCATGTTTATAATCATATTAACCTTCTACTAAGTCCATTACTCTGACATTTGACTACCCATAAATAGTCAAAGGAGCAACAGGAGGTTAGACAGAAACATTGACAGGCTCAATCAGTGGGCTGTTACAGATTCAAGTAACCCATGAGAGATACAACAGGAGCCAACCTCTGGCCCGGCCAGTGTGCTCATGCTCTAGTTCCTGCACTGGGTATATTGCCAGCCTGCTGCTGTTTCCTTCACTGCCTTCTCCAAACCCTGATCTCTATCTATCTCTCAGTGAAACCACACCACACTGTTCCAAAGCATACCTCCTCCTCTCATTTGCAGCAAATCACCATCCACATGCAAATGTGTACTGTCTGTCAATAATACTACACTTGTCAATCACTCCCTACGCATCACTGGAACTACTTAACATCTATACTTTACACTTAGAGACTTTGGATAGTCATTAATAAACTAAGTCCCAATGAT